GATGCATCCACCCCGTGCGATCCCAATTGGGATGTCCTGATTGAAGGCGAGGCAAAGGATCTCCTCTGGAGCTCTCCTTGAGTCCTCCGCCATGTCGGTGCCTGACGCCACCCGCGTGAGAGACGCCAACTCTCTGCTCCGCATCCACGGCAGCCGCGCGGTGGACGCCGGCGAAAACATGCCCCGAAGTCGATGACAGAGAACCATGAACAATGGAAAGATGAGGAACGAGACACATTCCCATGTTTGGTCTACCCAAGTTGGAAAAATGACAGATGTGACTCTGTGACCGTCTTTCTTTTGGGGGTCAGCGTCCGACCAAGATCTCGGGTTGAATTGGAAGCTCTTGGGGCTGGTCATAGTCAGCTCCTTTTTCTTTTACGAACCAAGGTCTCCAGACCAAAACCATCGGTGTTCCTCCCATCCACACATGGATGGGCCCGGGCACCAAACCGAAAATACCCAGACCGCCATCTGGCGCCCAAGACGAAGGAGATTTCCGAACCCCGAAGTCACCAGCATCCTGCGATGTTGACCTCGATTCCGGGCGAGTCGGGCATGTTCGGGGAGGGCCCGGGACGGACTCTTTGCTCCCTTTGCTAAGAAGAAAAGCATGCAACATGGCATGGTCATCCTTGATGCAACACGTGAGACCTCTTGATCTCGCAACAAACCGGGGGAAGGGAGGATCGTTCCTCCGCTTTTTTCCAGGTCGGCGCTTCTCCACTCGCACCTCGTTTGGGACGGGTTGGACCTCGGCGAACCCGCGCGCCGAGGTCAGGCGATCAGCATGACCGGTGGTCCGGAACGCAAAGGACCACCCACTCGTCTCATGGAATCTCATGGCATTTTCAAGACTTGACCAAAAGGGTGCAGGTGATGCTTTTTCCCACAAAACAGCCCGAAGGAGGGGCAACATGGGCAACTCACATGATTGGGTTATGTTTGAGCTGATTGAACCCATGAAGCAGGCTGCAAACATGTGCAACCCAAACACCCACCCAAACACCACTGTTTCTATTTTGGTGCTCCCTTTCCGCTCCAAACACATATCCAAACACCGCACCCACCCCGCCCTATGCACCAAGCTGCCCTGGGCCGTGTTCAGTGCCTAAATCCGTCCATTGAGCCAAGCCGGCGCGGCGCGGTGCGGCGCCGCGCGGTCGGGTCGGGCGTGGGACCAACATCCGCAGCACCGGTGGAACGGCGGCCGGCCGAGCGCGGCGCCGGGTGCGCGGTCCATGACTGGCGAAAGGCCCCTTCGTGGTTCAACTGGTGCAAGTAACGGAGTCCTTTCCACGTTTTCACCGGCAAGTGTTGATGGTGTTGATTTTTCTTTTCGCCAACCTGGAAACACTCACTCCAACAAGACTGAGAATCGGTGATTTGGAACTGGATCAGGTTACTGGGCATGCTCGACATGGGGTGAGTTTCATACTTGGTCTGAAAACCTTGTGACCACTCACTGTGTGACACTCGTGACCACTGGCCGGCACTGGCCGGCACTGGCCGCAGCCTATTCAGCTTCGCCTATCCAGCTTGGGAGCCCCGCCGCCGCCCCCCCCACCATAGTCGTCACAACATCGGCCAGAACACCGACGAGTCGAGGTCCTCGGTGCCTCGAGAGGCGCCCAACCAATTGGTTCGGGGACATAGCAACATCATCGAGCCAACATCATTGGCAACCGACTAGTCGCCCATCCTTCCAACCCACTGATCCCAAGTCAACCTCCGTGAAACGGAGGCTGTGGCCACGGAGGCTGCATCAGGGCGATGAAGTTCCAAAAGGAGGGGACGGGAGAACTCCCTAGCTATGCCGAAGCTTCTTGCTCCTATAGTAGCAAGAATGCTACTAGTAGTATAGTACTAGTATAGTAATGCCCGTTGTTACTAGTAGCGAACCTTGTTCCTAGTAGTAAGGCCAGGAGCTACTAGAGACCGACGGAACGCGAACCACGCCGAACCGGTCGGCACGTCCGCGTTTGAGGCGACCGAAGGCACCCGCGTTGGTCTCTCCACCCCTTTCGAAGAAACGACACGACGTCCGGTCCGGTGCGGCCGCATAAGATCGACACCAAGCAGAACACGAGCGTGGTTACGTGGAGAAGTGGAGTTCACCACCTGTTTGTGAGGCAAAAGTCCATCCAAGAGGGCCCCATGCCTCATCCCCACGCTCCGGACTCCTCATCTTCTGCAGTTGAATTTCGCCGATTCTCATCTTCTCCTCCAAATCCATGTTCGGCGAAGAGGGTGGCCCTCTTCGCCCAACACCGCCATAGGCAGGGCAAGACATATCAAGAGACATCTCAGTAGGTGAAAAGAGGCGTTCCCTCAGTTGTCAAACAAACCAATTGAACCAATTGATGTCTCTTTGTCGCCCCACCCAAGCATTCTGCCCAAACTGCAAATTTTGTTCATTGCGAAGGGAATTTCGACGTCCTTTCCAACAAATTATGAAACATGTCTTGGCAAAGGGTATCCCTTGTCAAGGTCAAGAGCATGCAAGTATAGACCACGGTCAATATTCATTTTCCATGGAACTGCTTCTTCTTTTCTTTACAATTTCATGACTTGGCAGCCAAACAGAAGCAGTTTGAACAGACTGCAGACTCTGTAAATAGAATCAAACGTGACAGAGGACGAAACACAAGGGGGAGGTAGGTGGCAAAGGGCAAACAAAAACTTAAGGAGGGGACCGACGGGCAGTGGCTTCAACACAAAAGAGGAAAGCAAGCACATCATATTCTAGGCATGCATATGCACACTTGTATTCTAACAGCTACTGGTAGCGTGCAGCAAGTCTCAGTTTAAGTGGCACAATTTATGGATTCTACCTTCCTTCACTCCAGGCGCTCCACTGCACCAACTCTTTTTTTTGAACAGCGATGGCCTCCACCCTACTCAAAGTAGCAATGACCTCCAACCTAATAGCTTCTTGCTCCTATTAGTGTTCTTGTTCCTAGTAGTAAGAATACTCCTAGTAGCGATGCCCTTTGCTCCTAGTAGCGTTACGGTGACATGGTGGATGCACTTTGCTCCAAAGCTCTGAAGCACTGCAGTGTTCCGTCTCCCGGACGAAAACGCAAACGCACTTTCCACCGAGGCCGCGCGCCTATATATTTGGCAACCTCCACCTCCGTTTTCGGCGCCACTCCACACTTTAACCACGTTCATCCTCGTTTTCGGCGACAGTTACACACTTTGGGGCGCCCGTGATGCTTGATGTTACATTGTTGTATCTAGTCACAGTCTTCTGTACACCGTGTGGTGTGCAATGCGGTTTTGCGCGGCCTCAGTGGAAAGTGCATTTGCGTGAGCCCGTGCCACTGGAGGAAGGAACACATGCTGGTGTAGATTCGCTGTGTTGCTGGGGAGCTGGATGGATTGGCGCGCAAACGATTCTTGGTGTCACATTGATGTATCTACTCTGTGGTACACCGTGTGGCCAAAACAGATCCACTAATTTCCTCTGATTGCCAGGTTTACCCATTCACTGCATATCATAGGAAGTCTGACAATCAAAGGATATACCATGAGGGTTTTTCACCCTTTCGCTCCCTTTCGTCCTCGACCTCTTCAATGGATCGGCCCAGCACGGACACCTGCGGACGGATCCGCTACCGGGCCGCTACGGGTGCGGTCCGTAGAAAGCACGGAAAGCACGGCATGGAGGGACCGGTTGGGTTAAACTTGGAGGTTGGGTGAAATGGTTCAACATGGTTCAAACCGTTCAGGAGAGAGAGAGAGAGAGAGTTGCCTTTGCTGTCTTCTTCTTCGTTGAAGACGGATTGCAGTTCATGGAGGTGGGTATTGGTCTGTTTGAAAGGAATCACCTGCGGAAGATCAGATCCACCCAACTTGGTATCTTCAACAAAAGGAAATTGGGGACAGTGGATGATGCAATGGAGATGCAACCACTTCCCGCCACAAAGACCAGGAACAGTAGATTTCTGAACAGGAGAACATTCGGAATACCAAGCTGAGTGTTCCTGACCAAAGGGCTTCTAGGGAACACCCAACTTTGTAACACGAAACCTGCAAGTTTTCAAAAAAACACATGGGTGGTGTGTGGGTATGTGTCTAAAACCAGGAGCTGATTTCTACTGCACGTCCTTTCAGCATCGTTTTTTGGAGCCAGTGCACTGGAACA